TTTATTTTATAACTGACATTATAAAAAGTGTCCAAACCATTTGTCAGATAAACAAGAAAAGGTAAAAAAGGTAGTTACGGGACGTGTTGGCGTTTACGTCCCTTCAGCTCGTCACTGTCACCTCTCCGCTCCACATTCCAGCCGTCCCGCTCTTATCTTTATGGGCTGAGGACGGGCAGAATTACAGCAGTCAGAGGACGGTTTGTGGAGCTCGATGACCAGAGAGAGCAGAGGGAGCAGACGCCGGGTGGAGACGACAATCACTTATCAATGTAGAGATGACAGAGGAGAAGACGGTGTCCGACAGAAGAAAGCAGCAGATCCAGTCGATCAAAGACGCAGAGAGAGTGAGACAGAAAGAGAAGCTGCAGTAAAAGTCAACGGTCTGGTAAAGCTCCTGAATGACAAACAATAAACTTTAACTGGAGTTTCTACTGGAGTCAGCTGACGTCACTCGGAGTGAGAGACCGAGCAGCAGAAAGCATCTGCCTGTTAATATCTGATCAACAGCTGCGATTATAACCAGGTAAACGACACTGCCGAGGCCTCAGAGGATGGATCTGGTCATGTGATGTGATCATGTGATCCGCCACATGATGGTTAATGACTAGTAACTTAAACATGTGGTGAAGCAGCAGGTACAAACGCTGGTGACGGAGAAAACAAAGAGATGTGAGGCTGAACGGCCACTATTTGTTTGTGTTATAACAGCTTATAAATGATCATTAATAAACTAGTTATACACCATTCATAAATCCTGGATAAGCCGAGTCTTATTGTAAAGCTAAAAAGTTACAGTTACAGAATTTAACAATGAACCAGTGGCTAAAACTTCGATGTGAAACTCCAAAATAATATTGTGTTAGCTGGATGAGATCCGACCTCAGTGTGACCTCGCACACAGAAGAGGAAAGATCAGGAGCCGGTGACACACAACACCTTCAGTTTTCTACTTAACACATGAAACTTAAGATAAGAAATTTGCAGCAGTGAAAGAGATTTTACAGCAGTAAAATTCTACTGTTTCCATGGAGACACCTGTGATCTCATCCTCCTGTTGTTTTGAACTTCACCAGGTGAACTTTAAGGTGCAACGGTTTAACTGAGGTAAAGTGATTCTCTAAGTTTAAGACTAAGATGAGGAGAAAACCTTAAATTAAATATTTAAATGAACATTTTAGAGAAACTTTAAAGAGAAAACTGTGCAACTGTTTTAAATCTAAGGACACTTCAACTCACACTTAGATCTTAACTTGAGGTGTTTTGTCCACCCGGCCTCTGGGTAACGCTGCTCCACCGTGTCCAGAGCCACAGAGGCCTCGGAGCGGGGGTTTCTTCTCCCATCATGCACTGGGCCTCTGAGGAACTCCTGGCGTGACCCACACATTTCCCAGAACGAGGAGGAGCCGCCACGACTTCATTCTGCCCGGTGGGTTCAATTAGCCTTAGCGTGACGGCGTCGCCGCACGCCAGAGGTGGATGCGTCCACTGTTCTGACAAAACACTTTGGTCTTGAGCGTGCTCGGCGGCGTTTTCCGTGCCGAGCCCGAGGCCCCCCCCCGGCCTTCGGAGTGGCGGGAATATTTGTTTGGAAATGTGGAGTTGAGGGTAAGCACTCTGAAGAGGAGGGAAGCAGCGACTGTTGAAAAATCTACATGATGACACAAACAATTATGAGGAGAATTCATAACACGGCCAAGATGGCTCCTCGTGACCTATTTTGGATGTTTCCCCTGGCAAAGCAGCGAGGAGAGAGAGGGGGGGAGGAGAGGGGGAGGAGAGGGGGAGAGATGACTGGAGTCTATTGGGGTTGAAAGCAAAGTATGAAGAGACTATTACTGCTGCTCAGGTCTTTCAGCACGTCCAGCCAGAGCAGGTCCGGAGGAAGAAAGAGAGAGATCAAAAAGAGGGAAGGTTCTGGTTAAAGGTTCGAGGAAAGCGATGAATTGAAAAGAAAGAATGACGAGAGAGAGAAAGAGAGAGAGAGAGAAAGGTAGAAGAAGAAGTGGAGAAAGTGGTACAGAGAGAGATGGAGAGAGTGGAGGAGGGAGGAGTATTGTATTTCATCTCTGCGTAGTGGACGTCTTAATCAACAGTGTCAGGTTTTCTTTCAGGAGGCCGCATGGTGTTTTTCAGGCTGACAGCAGAGGCAACATGACGGAGGAGGATGTTCCTCCACCAGCAGCAGAAACATGGAGGATAAATACAGTCACCGTCACCCGAGAGACATCCTGCGTCAAACACATAAAGTGTCCGTGTGCAGGAGCTCCATTTCCTCCCTTACAAAATAAAATAAAGTCCAAAAGTTACACTCATATTATATATTTTTTTGACTCATATTACAGTTTGTGAATGTGAAATCAGCACCAAAAGAATTCACATTATTATAGAGGAATAAAAGAATATTATAGTCACACACAAATGCGATAAAGTCTTCTATCATCCTTTTCTTTTACACTCTTGTATTTCACGTCTGAAACTAAAATCTTTGCAGGTAAGTTAATGAAATTAAAATATTCATGAAGCATTTCTGTGCTCTGTCATTTTACTGGTTTGTCATGAATTTTATTCTGTTCTTTCCCCTATGAAGCGCTTTATTTTGAAAGACACAAATAAAAGCTGTTGTTAAAAGGTTATTATTATGTTGTAATACATCATTAAAAAAAATGGTCCAATTCTGCTTTTCAAACTGTTACTGGAGTAAAAGTCAAAGTTAAACTACTTACCTTTAAATTACATTTAAATCTGAGTCTAAGCAGCTCATTCAAAAGGAAAATAAATTAAATGAAATGTTGTTCCCTTTAATCTCTAATAGTGGAAACTAAGTTTAAATAATCACGTTTCACTGTCTTTACAATTTACAAATATGTGCTTAATATTTACATTATAGTCACATCACAGTTCCTCATGGTCTTATAATAACATGAGAGATTAAAAAAACATGTGAGATAATGAAAATGAAAATACTGAAGTATTATAAGAAACATGAAATTGTATTTATTGTAATTTATTTTGTATTTTATCTGACTGTGTCCTTAAAGGCGCCTTTAAATAAAATGTGTAATTATGAAAATCTATAAGATCATTAAGTAAAGTTGTGATCCTGTTGAAATATCACAACAATACTGAGCGAATGTGAAAGAACACAACAGAGAAAGAGGTAAAAAAAAATAAAATAAAATAAAATAAAATAAAAACGTAAACATGTGACAGTGTTAGAGAGAAATAAAGCGACAGAAAGTGACGGATGGTTCTTTACGGTTCCTCGTGGAGGTTGAGCTGAGCTGTAAACACGGAGCAGAGCAGCGGAGCTTTATGGAAAACACGCAGCACGTGAAGGTGACACCTCCTGATTTATGGCTGTATTTAGATAAGACTCGCTCCTAAATGGTTTCTAAATAGCGTCAAGGTCATGTAATGTAATGGGATAATGTTTTTTGGGCGATGGAGATAAGATGATGTGTTCAGTGTGTGAGGAGCTGTGCGGGGGAATTCGTGCGGGAGATAAAAACCCGCCGCCGCCGCCGCCGCCGCCGCTGCAGAGGTATGACGACAGCAGGCCGCGGGAAAAGAACCAAATAATTCATCAAACCTTTCATTCGCACTTCTCACGGAAAATCAGATCGCTGATGATAAATGACTCAATTCAGCCGCTTGGTGCAAAAATAAAAAATAATAAAACACCAATTACGCGTTTGAGAAAATATGAAAAAAATCTTACAAAACAAGCATCAGGTCGAAGGGAAATATGGGAAAACAATCTCTTATTTCCAGAGTAAATTAATTAATTATCGAGATAAAATGAGAACGTGCCTCTATAGAAGCATATAAAGTTTATTGATACGTAATATATCATCGTTTTTATTATTATCTTTTGTCAATAGCAACAATCTTTAAGAGGTCGGTTTTTCTTTCTCTTTGAAATCGCCATGTGCACCTTAAAAATCTTATATTTCGACACTTAAATCATACAGAAATGTAATATATGACATACAGGCCTATGTCACCTATAGCCTTTATATCTCTGTGTATCTCGAATTTGCCCTAGGGGGTAAGTAAAGTATCTATCTATGAGCGGATATATTATTATCACATATAAAGGCCTACATCCTCTGGATTTATGAAGATTTAAGTTTATAAACTACATGAAATATAAAAGTTGTACGTGTACATACATTAAAACTATATGATTAATTTTTATATGGTATAAGATGTTGTAAACATATATGTTAACAATATATATTTAGGCTTAATTTATATATGTAAGTTAATTAAAACAACTTCTATATGTTTATGTATGTTTTTCTTATTCATTTTAAACGTGTCTATCTCAGACTTTTGGATCCTCGTGTGTATAATATCAACATCATATATATATCATCATGTACTGACAGACTCTGAGGTGGATATATATTTCTGTAGCATATCTACAATATATAAAACATATATATTTGTATGGGCTAGACACTATGTTAATATATGAAAATAGTTCCAGTTTCTAACAGGTTTTATATATGATTTTTACATGTTTTTTATCATATATATATGTATGTATATATAAATATATATAAATATATATATATATACACATATATTATTTGTATGGGGTTGCATTCACGGTCCAGTTCTCCACCTCATCGGCCTCGAGCTGATGAGTAAAACAACATCATTATTCAAACAGCAGCCCCTAATTAAACAGGTATGTCCAAACAGATGGTGCGTAAAGTCCGTGCGTAAAACCTCTCCAAAACTAAGAGAGGACATTCAAACCAGAGGTGTTCTAACCCCCCCACCCCCCACCTCCTCCCCACCTCCTCCCCAGCCTCCACCCCCCAACCAGTAACCGACTCCAACCAGTCAGATATCTGCTGCTTGAGATTCTGGCACCATGGCGCATGTTAGTATTACAGACCTCTCCAGACTCTCCTCCCATCCTGGGCGCTCTCCTCTATTGGCTGCCTCCTTTCCACGCTCACATCCAAATCATATAAACCTGGGGGCCTCACACCTTCAGCCGGGGTCAAATTTCTCGGGCGAATCGGAGCAGCCTCTCCGGGAAACGGATCTTCACGAACCAAACACACAGTGGAGTCCAGCGCGACGCCGAGACCCGCTCTCTGGATGTATACGGTTTTTCTGCGGCCTTTCTTTCCCCTCCAGAATGACGACGATGTAAAACTCGGGGTCTGGACTCGTTGGTGAATCCAGGAGGATACAGATTAAAGTCGTGAATGAGTCCCGCTGGCTGCAGATCCCCGAGCAGTGACCGTTTTGGGGCCGCAGCTGAGAGAGACCGAGGGCGCCGGACAACGCGGAAACTGCAGTGTTTGCTCCCCCGCTCGACATGAACCTCATCGGGGGCTACCAGCATCACCACCACCTGATGCACGAACCATTCCCGTTCGTGCAGCGGTGTCACCAGGACGCGCCCTACTTCCAGAGCTGGGTGGTGAACCACGGCGAGGTGCCCCCGGACTTCCAGATCCAGGCGCCCTACCCGGCCGCGGAGCTCGGAGCGCCCGGAGCGACGCACGACGCCCGGCTGGAGGGGCTGCAGGCGGGGATGGGAAAGAGGAGAGCGTCGGGGCCGAAGAAGGAGCGCCGGAGGACTGAGAGCATCAACACGGCGTTCGCGGAGCTGCGGGAGTGTATCCCCAACGTCCCCGCGGACACCAAACTGTCCAAAATTAAGACTTTACGCCTGGCGACCAGCTACATCGCCTACCTGATGGACGTCCTGGCCAAAGACTCCGGGGAGACGGAGGGCTTCAAGGCCGAGATCAAGAAAATCGAGAACCGGGATCTGAAAAGGAAACGAGATCTGGTGAGTCGGTGTGAAGCCGCGGAGGAGTCCGAGCTGATCCAACAACTGATCCGTTAATTCACATTAATGTCTCAGTGTAAACACACCTGCAGGTTTGATGCCTGTCTAATTTTTATTTTATTTTATTTTAGGTAGAAGTTGTTTTTATTTTTTTATTTTATTTTTGACTAAATTTAAAAACATATATTTTTTTTGAACCACTTTGAATTAAATTGACTTTCCCTACAAAATATAAGTAAATTACATTTTCAGGACTTTGATACAAGAGTTTATAAACAGCAAATATAATTAGATTTTTTGTAATTATGTAGACTATTGTAATGTCATTCATTATGGAGGTTGAATTATTTTAAAATCAACGCTTAAATTAACAAAATAAAACTTCTGGTCCAACCTATGCAAGTCCTCGGCCCGAGTCTGGCCCATATATACCTCCACACCTGGGCAGATTCTGGCCTTTATTCTTTCTGGAAAAGTTTTCTGTGTGTGCGCCAGAGTTGGCCCAGATGTGGAAGCAGCATCTGACAGTCATGGTGTATTTTCGGGCCAGATTCGGGCCGTAGAACCGGGGCCGACAATGGCCGGTTTTATTTTTACTATTGTCACAAAAATAGAGGTGTTAAGGAGTTACATTACATCTTTCATACGCACTGACGTCACACTCTTTCACTTTAATGTAGCCTATAGTTAAAACAGCTCATGCACAAAGTGTTGCCAGCAGCTAATCACCATGACAACCACCCCTCACCACTTATACAGTTATAAATACATAGTTAACATCCAGGTTTTTGTTTATAACATGTTCATCTCACATCCTGTGTAAAAAAAAAAAAAGTAAAATTCAGTTTCACACATGTAGCTTTAAATTTAGATTTAAATTATGAATTATTATTATTATATATAATATAATGTATATTATATAGATTATAATATTATAACTATATTATTATGTCATATGTCTGGAGAAATATTTTCTACTGTAATAAGTGATATTAACATAACATGTAATGTTCAAGAAAATATTGTTAAATGATAAATATCCATATAATATATATTTATATGAGATAAAAAATACCCAGTACTAATGCCCCCCTCTCCCCCCCAACAGACTGACGGGCTGCAGGACTCTTTAGGAGCCGAGAAGAAGGTGAAGGGCCGGACCGGGTGGCCGCAGCAGGTCTGGGCTCTGGAGCTCAACCAGTGACCCCCCTCCCTCCTCCTCCTCCTCCTCCTCCTCCCCCTCCTCCTCCTCCTCCTCCTCCTCCTCCTCTTCATCCCTAAAACCGATTCAGAGACTCTGGATCAGATTGTTTTGTTGTTTGTTTTTTTTAAAAACCACTGACTGACTGAACTTGAACACACCGCTGTGCACGTGCAATGATGCGCAAAAAAAGGGGGAGAGAATGAAAGGAGAACACAAACTGCGGACGCAAGCACCGCGGTGGACGCTCGTTTTGTTGACCCTCGTTTCTCCTGGTGTGGTTTCTGAAGTCCACTCACAGATCTGACTGTAGGTGTTTGCTATTTGTGGTATTTCTGCTTTGTTGATGTTTCCACCCCTCCAGTACTGGAGACCACATGTTGCCATTGTGTCAAAAAAAAAAGTCAAAAAACATCTGTCTCCCCCTGAAGAAAACGTGTTGACCTGGCTCTGGTGTGGTGGCTGTTTTCCACTAATCTGATGCCGCTGAAGCAGAAAAAGAATAAATGATGATAAACGATAAGTGGAGTAAAAGCAGAGTAGGGGTCTGAGAAAAAACCGCCGATGCAGAAGTTCAAAAACGACCTTTTCTTTTATTTGAACTTTATTTATGGCGCGTAAAAACCCGCTGTTTGGCGCTAATTGTGTCAGAAATAACACAAACACAGCACAACAGATTTCATTACTCATTATAAACCTTACTGCTTCTACTGGTGGATTGTTGTGCAATCAGAAACCAGCTCAGTTATCTTAAGTCTTAATTATGTTTCATTAATTTCAACATAAACAGCTGTGTTCTAAATACATCGCCTTCTATTTTAGCGTGTTCGAAGTTGTTTAATTTCCATTTGGCATTGGCCGAAATAAATTATCACGGCGGGAAATATTGTTGCACAAATCCTCCTATAGGCTAATTATTTTGCAGTTAAAAATTTACAAGTGATAACATTTATATATATATATACGTATGGCATAAATGGTCCTATATAGGCCTATAGGCCATGATATAAATGACAGATAGTTAGGATTTGTGCAAAAATAAAGTCTATATATATATATATATAACAATTACAGTGGAGCATAAATGACATATACAGGATTTATCCCAAAAAAATAAAAAGGACAATGAATAAAAATACAAAAAGATGATCTTAATTTTACAACATTAATTAATTGACCACTCAGTCAGTTAACTAATACCTGATAATGACTAATTTATACCGTAATAACCGGATATGTTCGATAGGGTTAGGTTACGTTTTTCTCTGACGTCATGCCGTGTCAAAATTGAAAAAATAAAATAAAACAAAATAAAAAAAAATGTAAACACTGTATCTGGCGGGAACACAGAGTCCAGTGGAAACACATTTTGAGGGGAGACTTTTTTTTTTTTCATCCCACTGAATTTGGCGCAAAAACATGTAAAACACGTGACGATGATTATGAATCCAGTCAGTCGCAGTCAGATCTCAGATGGAGCCCGGGCTGTGTCAACTCTTGAGGCTGTTGTTGTTGTTGTTGTTTGCTGTTTGTTGTTTGTTGTAGAAAATGACTGAATATACTGAACTGAACTGAATCTACCTCAAATTTAAAAATGTCACTGTCCGTTTAGAGAAGAGGGAAAACAACATTTTGACACCGGATGTTGAGTTGACGCACAAACACGACAACAAAGAAGATTCAAGGTTTATTACTGTGCGACATGTTGATGGCGATGTACATTAGATGTGAAGTTATATATAGTTCCGTAAATAAATGAATTATTTTAAGACACTCGAGCTGTGGTGAAGGCGACGTCTTCATTTCTTCTTCTACGTTTTTGTTGGAGCCACTAACTGAACTGACGGAGAAGGAAAACACGAACCTGAGACGTTTCATTATTATTATTATTATATATTATTTTTTTGTGACTTTTTTTATTATATGAATTTATTCTCATAACGGTCTGTATTTTTTCTTCGCAATCCGAACTGTTTTTAATATTCGTTATTTTTCACTTATTTTCTTTTAATTTACAACATTTCTAAAGATTTTTGAGGATGAATTTTAATTTAAAACCGATATCAGGAAACCTTTTTTTGTTTGTTTTTTAAAGTCCTGTTCTCCTCAGTGGCTTGTTGTCATTTATTATTCATAAATGGCCAGAAACTCAGAAAACTAACAGCTTACATCATATTTGCACTTTTTTTGTTTAGTTTGTTTTTTATTTCCTATTGATACATCTATAAAAATGTATTTCTAATCCTCCTGTGCTGATTTGTAGTGGAAACATTTTATTAAGGGTGGGTGGAAATTAAATAATAACAGAACTGTTCTGTAAAATATAAAAAAAGAGATTTGCTTTCAAAAATAATGTCTCACCCCCTGTGATAAAAAAGAAGAAAATCTATTCTTACAAAATGTTTGACTTCACCTTCTGTTGATCCTGTTTCCTGTGAAGGTCTCCAGGTGTTTGAAAGTCCAGAGTCCAGGCTGCCTTCATTTAACAGGAGGATCCACAGTGACACCTAGTGGCCGAAGTCTGTTACTGAAACAACAGCATGAAGAAACTGATGACAAGTTCTTTTTAGCCTTGATTCTAAAAGATTTAACACATTATTTCCACATTTATTCTGTATATGTACTAAAGGATTAAGGGCCACATGTGACAATTATACATTAATACATAATAATAAACAATAATATAATTCTGATAAATAAAATGTGGCCCCAACTCTCCGCTGTAGTTCAGACATACATACCTGTGTAAAAAGACAAAGGAGAGACTGTTGCTTCTGCCTGTACAATACATTTATTATTATTATTATAATTATTATTAGGAGCAATAAGCAGCCATATTTAAATATGTTCTTTTCTAATACAATAATTAGGTTAATGTGGCATGGCCTATGTGTTAATAAAGTTGGATGTTATCTACATGACACTAACGAACCTACAAGCAAAACTGAAAATACAACAGACGCTAAAATGATAACCTTGTCGAAAGGAGACAAACTCAGTGTGGTGGACAGACTTAAATATGATGCGACAGAAGATGGTGAGAAAAAAAAAGAAAAAGAAAACAACTCCATGTAGTCACAACCATTAAAAACAGAAAAAAAGAAAAACAGAGTTGGAGTTGGAGAGAGGAGGAGGGGTTTTACCTGGAGGTGTCAGCAGTACAATGAGAGTTTAAATCAACTTTTGGATGCTTCATGTTACATGTTAACGGGTCACTGATAGTTTCTCATCACGTCGTTTGGCTCAATATTAATGAAATTTTTTTAAAAAGTTTCTCTCCTCCACGTCACTGAGAATCTGTGTGAAGACGAAGCCTCACAAACTTACCAATTAATCAATGACAAATCGATTACAAATCAAGAAAATAAATCATCAGTAGTTTTGACAAACTTTTGGTGCCGAATTAGATTCACGTTAGACTTTTTACGACAAACATAATCAATGTGCATAAAACTGTGCAACTTCACAGACATGGAAGTAAGGCGTCTGGAAATTACGGCAAATTCTTGCTTTAATTTGATTAATTATTCGGGGAAAAAAACCCCCCAAAAAAACAACTTGTCAATCCAGCTTCTTGAAATACATCCACGCTATGATGAGAATCAAATCAAGAGTTGAACCTTTACTATAAACACTGCTCTTAAATATTAAAATGGCGCTTATAATTACTCTTTACACTCCTGTCACTCACACGCACGCACGCGCACACACACACGTTTGATTTCAGGTGGGAAAAAAAGGACGAAGAAAAATAAAAACAAAATCATAAGCAAATAACTTTATACAACTTGTAAATTAAGGCTCAACTAAAGAGGAAGGAAAGAAACTTGTATGTTTAAAAGAAAAAAGAAGTAGCTCCCGACACCTGCGATGCACAGAGAAATGAATCAGTATGACAGTGTTCATACGCAAGGAAAAGACTCACTACAATCGGTCTTTGAACGCATCACATCCAGCTGGAAAAGGGCGACGTACAGATTGAGGATTCATTCATTTTAGACATTATTAAGAAAGAAGGTTTTTCTAAGTGAATTTTGCGCCTTCAGCAGCTGGATGTGGCGTCAGTGAAGGTGGCACCTCTTTCCTACAAATTCATTCATTCACAATAATAATAATAAAAACAAAAAAACAAACAAAATCCCACTCAGCATCATTCAGTTCCTACACGCTTCTGTTTGGCACAAGCATTCCTCACGGGCGGTGGATGTGTTAACAGTCAACTCGGCAAAGAAAAAAAACAAAAAAAAAAGAACTAAATTTACCAAAATGTGTTTTGCTTTTTACTCTTAAGGCAGCTATATCGTACATTGCATTCAACCAGGTTACTTGAGATCGGACGCGGTTTCTTTTGTACATATCGACAAGTTACATTACAGCATGACGACGTAAAAACCCTGCGGAGTGAGTCCTGGTCCTGGACAGTCTTTTTAGGGACCCGGGCGAAAAGAGGAGGATCGACCGTCGCGACGACATGTGCTCAGACTGTATTCGTGTGAAGCGGAGGCGGGGGAGGGCAGAGACAAACTCATCCCTTCCTGGATCCTCCTCCAGTTTTTCTGTGAAACGTCCTTTGAGGACAGCGAGAGTTCAGGTTCTGGTCTGACGGAGGAGTGGGACGGTGGCAGGGCTGCAGGAGGAGCTGGTTCTGGTGGGTGGAGCTGTTGTTAGTGGTGTCCAGCTTGTTGTTGCCGTTTGTCACTGTAGGTTCTGCTGTGGCTACTGCTGCAGTTGTTGTTGTTGTTGTTGCTGTTGAAGCTTAGTCCAGCGGTTTGCCGCCGTCCCCTTTCTGGTCCAAGCGGCTCTTGCTGCTCTTCACCATGTAAATAAAGTAGGTCAGAGTCTCCTTCTCGTTCACCGGGATGTTCCTGAAGTGACGACTCACCGTCTGCGGAGGAGGAGACAGTGACGGTTAAACACAAATGTTTGTTGTCATGATCTGATCTCTCTGGAGACCAGTTTCAGAATAATGATCCATCTTAGAAGTTATACAACAGTTAGTTCTGACTAAGTCATTTGATTGGACGATTGGAGTGCTGATATAGAGCATAACAGCACTGGGATTTTAACTACATGTATCATTCTCTTTAACCGTTAACAAGCGTTACGTTAATGGTCGTTATCTATGATAGATTGTAACGGACTTCAGCACACACCTGAGGTAATGTGTAGACAAGGGAGCTAGCTAGTGTGCACTGTGCAGCTCAGGAACATGCATCTTGTTTAACTAATATGGCGCTCGCAGAACTGTGACTGCGTCCTCGTACCTACGACCGAAACACAGCCGTGCTGATATTCAGTACATCACTCCCAATATTACACTCTTGAGTATTATTGCTTAATTAAAGCTCAATATTTTACACTTCCTGTGTTCTATATTCAAGTATTGAAGATATATTTGTGGTTTTAAGAACCAAAAACCAAGATCAATATCTGCCGAGCTGCAGTGACAGTGATGTCAACATGATCTTGTGTCATCTGCAGCCATTAAACCACCAACAGAAACTGCCGTATGACTTAGAAACGACCTTTCCATTTCTGTGATGGTGGATTTTCTTCTTTAACTTCAATCAGTTCTTAAAAAGCAGGTAACAGCTGAGAAACGGTAGAAAACTACTGGATACTGGATCCAGTAGGAGACAGTTAATGTGGCTTTAACTGGAGCTTGAATAATGGCTGTTTGGATTTTATAAAGTAGCATCAGGCAGAAGAAAACAAACATCCTGTGTGCAGCCTCTCTCTCTCAGCAGCCACTGGTCCTCCTGAACGGGGGCCGAGCCCGGGGGCCGCAGCTGCAGCTGGTTGTGGGGCTGTTGACTGGCACTTTATTAATGATGTGGGAGGCTCATTAATAGCAGGGTCTGAACCTGAGTAAAAGCCTGGGGAAACATTCAACTTACAGCCCCAGTTTCATTCATTCCTTAACTCTACAGCCTGGTCACATCAGACCACCCCCCCCCCTCCACCACAGGCAGACTGAGAGCGCTACATACGGGAGGGATTTGTGAGGACGAGGGCCGAGCCAGCTGCACGAAGTCCACCTGTCGATTTGGCAAATTAAGTCTAACAACCTCTGTATGACCAATTACTGCGAGCGAGGACCCGCGACACTGCGTTTGTCACAGTAAATGAGTAACATGGAGGCGAGGGGTCGAGAAGACGGATGCAGGGAACACCTAACGAAGGCAGCTCAGGCGCCTTTAATGAACTACTGGTCTAATTATTCCACAAAGGATTCAGAGAAAAACCAGTTTCCTCCCAGGACGCTGCTGAGGTTTCTGTTTCTCTGTCAAGTTTTTAAACCGACGGTAGAGAAGTAAATGTTTTAGTACCAACATAATATCATGATTAAAAAAACATTAAAAAGATGTACTGTTCAGGAAACAGGGTCACAGTCTCTTCTTCTGTTCCTCAATAATGGCCCGAAGTGCTTTTGCTGAACATTATGATGTCACAGTGAAGCTGACCTTTGACCGTTGTCATCACTTAGCATATTAATTCTTGAGCTGCGGCCAAAAACGTGTCTTTGAGGTCACAGTGAACTTTGACCTTTGACCACTAAAATAATGTTGTTAACCATAATAATTGTTGAACAACATTAAGTAATATTCATTCATATTAATTGATGATTTTGTTCAAGGCAAACCAAAAAGTAAAATGAAAGTAAAGTAAGAATTGGAGGTGGAACTGTGATTCATTTTTTTAATCACAGATTAATCTGGTGATTATTTTTCAGGGTTTCAACAAGTTAAATTTAAGACTTTTTAAGACCTTTATGGATGAAATTTAACAATCTGAAATTTAACAATCTGATTTATGATTATTTAAATTTCACTATTGAATCAACAAAGTTTGTCTCCATGTTCTGTCTCTCTTGTTCCCTCGTGTTTTTTTTACATCAGAAAAGTTGCTTTTAATATCAATAAACTCAGATAAATGAAGCTGTACTCATGTTGCAGCCGCCTGATTTTGTGTTCGACCAATCGGTGACATTCAGAAAACCCAGCCCTGACAGTTCCTGGGCCATTAGAGGGCACCATGCTCAGAGCGGGAAGTTTCAGGACTAACGTAAACCCCGTTCCCTCTGGTCAAAATGTCAAAACACAGGTTAAGGTTCCTGAGTTCCTGAAACAGTTCCTACTGTGGAAACAGACGTGGTTTCATGGTCCACACTGAACAGAACAAACGTTGTGTCGCCCATTAGTCAGCAGGTAGATACGGTGAGTCGGTCAGCGTGCTCTTACCTCTGCCAGCTGGGCCTTGTTGAGGCCTGGTCTGGTCTGCAGCTTGTAGTGTCGCTTGTAGCGTCTCAACGTGTTCACCTGCAGCTGGAAAAGGTCGACCTGAGGACACAATACGAGCAGGGATGTAGTGAGACACTCAGTTCAGAGAGAGGATCGTTTTTTTTAACTCCGACACATCTCAGTGATTTACTGAAGGCTCGCAGCTACTTCTGCCTCTTTTCCAGCTTTTAACGAGGATGAAAATTTAATGATCTCTGTGGAGAAATTGGGTCATTGCAACAGTAAACACTGGAAACCCCACAAGGAGAGCTAAATACAGACGTGCTGGATATGAATTTCTTTAAAAGAGTAATGGTGGTTATGTAAGAATATTCTTATTTCACCATGAGCTGGTGTTTTTAAGCTTTCCTCTCTCTGTCAATGTGTTTTTACTCTTTCTACACCCAGGTGTGACTCTGTCCCTGTTGAATGTTGTGAGTAGACACTTTAGTCCACGTTACCTCGGGCACCTCCACATCATGATCTGGGGATTCCCCTCCGTCATCGCTGGTCTTCCTCTTCCTCTTGTTGCGGACGCTCTGGATGAAGTTCTTGTGAAAATCACAGATGTAGAGGTGTCGCACCTGTAAGGATGTTAATGAGCAGTGAAGGATTAAGTTTACCACGTACATATACCTCTGTCTCCCAGGATCACAGCAAAACACAAGTCAGACTGAGCTGGATATCAAGTTTAACAAGTTTCAATCTTGGTGCCACAAGAAAACTTGAAGGAGTAAATTAAAACCTAAAATCAAAGCAGTAGCAGAGTTTAATGTCATCTTAGAACAACTAACCGTTACAATAACTTCACTACTTTTTATACGTTTTGTTTGCAACTCAAAATGTATTGAGGTATGATGCCCGGCCCCGACAACACATTGGTACTGAAGTCAATAACTGAAAAACACCTGCAGCCTGCTGCCACCGCTGAAAACCTCAAACACAAAAAGGCTTACCTCGTTAAGACATCCTTGAATTCACTGATGACTCTGCTGCGTGTTAGGAGGCCCAGGAATATATTCCTGCATGTGGCTTCAGGTTTGTTATCGTATTCTATTGTAATATTATTTTAGGGCTGCACAATATGCAAAAGAAATAATAAAAATATTATTGTCATTTCAGTTGGAATCATATTTTTACTAAAAAAATTTATAAAATGATTATGTGATTTTTGTTGGTCTGTTCCAAACAAACATGTTTCCTCTGGAGAACATGATTTTATAAAAGCTTATGGTGATAACAACGCACAACAATGTTGTGACACATCTTGCCTTTATCAGAAAACTGCAGCTGCTACTATTTGGATATTGCACTTAGCCATATTGCAATTTAGATTATATTTTGTTTAATTGTGCATCCCTACTTTTTTGTTTTTAATACTGTTCAGAATGTGTATTATTGAGATGATCTTTACTCCACAATTTTCACAATTTGCGACTTTTTTCTGTTTTACACCACTGTAAACTAATCAGTTTGAGATTTGAACTGTTGTTCTCACATCACTCTGGGCTCTGAGAAACTGTCTAAATCCTAATTATAGACAAAATGATTAACTGAGACAATAATCAGCAAATTAATCATTGGTTGTAGCCCTAAAATGTTGCATCAGTGGTGCTTATTTCCTAATAATTTATATACAGAAAAGTTCTCTAATTAACTGCCACAAAGGGAAGACAGGGACTTTAGGCTGCTAAAGGTCTGAGGCCTTGAGACACCTGCCTGGTGGGTGAATCACCTTTCGATACCTGTCAGTTTCTCTCCCTGACACTGGAAGTGAGCCACTGAACAATACAATCAACTTTGCCGTTGATAGCAAACCAGTGAGACTAATTCAAAAACCTATGCAAAAGTAACCACGAGAAATAAAACTGTAGGGCAGAGTTGAGTAAAACTGTCTGCTACTTCGACCAATATTTAACTGGTAGTTCGTTGTACTTTGAAAAAGAGAGGCCGGTTGTTGTAACCGGGCAGGAGGAAGCTTCCCTGGCAACAGCCATTTTGGAGGAAACTGTTGCACTGCAAGAAAGTTGATGCGGGCAGGATCCTGCTGTCCCGCACGTCGTCCAGGTAGCTCAGCTAGCTCAGCTAACGCTAGCTTGACATTTAAACCGAGTGAGAACAGATTTAACTACAGACAACGCGGACATTCCCCGCTACGGTAACGCTAGCAACTAGGGGGACGCTATGAATGTGTCCTTTTTGTTTACTCACGTAAACTAACCTGCTAACTAGCTTTAGCTGACAGCTGAAGAGTCTGAGCAGTTTACCCGGCAGCTAGTCAACTTCCAGTCGTCATCTCGCACTAACAATCACTGATTTAAGTGTCACAACAGAACTGAAACTGTATTATAGTTCCACTTACACTCTTGTCAATGTCCAGTTTCAGTTTCTTCTGCGATATGCTCTTCTGGATCCTCTTGCTGAAGGAGGCGTTTCCAGCTGACCGGCCGCAGCGCTCCCCGTCCTCGATCAGACAGCAGCTCTGTCCATAAAACGGCGGAGCAGGCGGTCCATCGTGGCTGTCTTCCTCTGTGCTGAATCCATTCATTCTGTACGGTTGTAATGCTCTTCGTGCTATAGCCCAGGCGAAATCACTTAAAAGCCAGCGTTATGTTGGCGACCAAGTCTCTTGTTCACGCGTTGCCCCCTTTGTGAAAGACAATCCGGTAGCGTTAGCTAGCTAACTAGCTAGGTTAAGTGGTTCGGTTCGCTAGCTAACAACTCCTGGTGTTTTACCCTGACTCCGGCGACTTATTTCGAAAAACGACAGCCTCTGGTTAAATACATATTCCCGCCGATGTCGGTTAGATTCACACTAAAAAAACAGCTGCTGCTAACGTTAGCTAGCCTCGGTGCTAGCAGGACCGCAAGGTGGCTCAGCTGCCGCTAACGGACAAATTCCTCTGGTGAGACCGCAGCTGTTTGTCCCTGTAACAACCCGCTGCTTTTTGATACGATTCAAATATGACAATAGTCTCACGCGACTCTAAGATAAAAGGCGTCAACCGGCGGCAACAGATGAAACAACTTTGAAGAAATCACGCATTTAACAGCCTGCACCGCAACAATCGCGGCACTCTTTGAGAACAGCTCGTACAATGGGACATGCTTCGTTTCTGTGGCGGAAGTTCTCATCCCGAGCCAGGATTGGCCAATTTTGCATGGGGGCGGGCTTAGCGTGCAAACCTTGCTTTTCCATTGGCTGTAAGAAACATCGATATTCAAGCGGCTTCTTCCTGTATCACTCGGCGTCATATGTTTTCTACAATGAATAGGAGTTAAAGGTGGCGTCGCAGCCAGTTGAAGTAGCTTGTAACTGCCCAGCAGAGACTTGGCGACCTTTATACAGAATAAGTTAGAAAGAACTAAAGCAGCTCGACTACCTGTTAAATTGATTTAAATACACGTGGATGAAGTTTTCAGATAGACCAACTGTAGTCAGATTAAGGATGAAAGGAACTGACAAACCTATTAATTAAAAAACGTATTTAAACTTATTTCCTGAATCTTGACGTATGCAAATAGAAACTACCAAGTAGTAGGCCTATTTAGGATTACTTCATGTCCTTTAACTTTCGAGATGATACAAACACTTTCTTCCCTTGTAAAGATCAGACGAAGATCCTAGAAAACAACCAGTAACGAATATCATCGCAAAATACATACAGTCATAAAACAACTGATGAGTTGACTCAGTGTTTTCATTTAGAAAATACAGCAGTTACAGCCTAAGAAATTCTCTTGTGACATATATTCCTGTAGGTTTTAAAGTGAACTTCATTTGTTTTTGGTGGAAATGGAGTTTGATAATTAGTTTTCATAATCATTTTTTGTTTGATTGAAAGGAATACAATGCATCCAAATAAGATATTTTTGAAGTTAAATTCGTGAAATCATGTCCATTCACCAGGAGCCTAGGTCTCTGCCTAAGGGGTCATTGGAGCCATGGACTGGGGCGTATAGAATTAAGGATAATGCAGAACTCTTTATGATGTCACAAGATTTCATCTTACTTAGAACTCATGACATAAAAACCTTCTTTCATTTATCATGTGCATCATAGGTCATATTCCTTTTTCCTTTCACTTGTTATTGAGCAGTGATTTGTTTAATTTTCACAGTTATCTTTACCTAACAATATCACAATTTTAAATTACTCAATAAACTTACTTAAGTACATTCCTGTCAGTGTTCTATTTTTATGTTATACTATTAGATTATTTTTGCTGACCATGTTACTGACGCATCAACATGCAAGCAGCATTTAAATATTGACTGAGGTAGAGCTGATTTTAATCATTTATATACTGTCAGGTCGCTTAATTTACTGTTTAAGAATATATTTGTTTTAGTAATTACATTCAAAGTTCTAATCTTCTGTAGTACAGCAGAGTGAAAAGTAGGCCTACAATATTCCCCCCTGAAATATTGTGACATTGAAGTAGAAAGTAGCATATCATTAAAATACTCAAGTAAAGTGCAAGTGCCTTAGAATTGTATTTGAGTGAATTTACTTAGTTACTATTTTTATACTCTTTTATATTTACATAATTTGTTACCTAAGAATGTTACTCTTAATGTTTTGTAACTTTTTTCTTTCTTTCTCTCTTTGTCTTTATTGTGTTATTACTTGTATGTATTTTCTTTATTATTATTATCATTATTATTATTATATGGTTTAAGTATAGAGTACAAGTAATTTATGTTTAAGTCTACGGGATGTATGAAGTTAAATAACCTTCTAGGAGGCGTGATACACTCTTATCTTACTCAGTGTTACTTGATATGTACAACAGCGAGGTTGTCATTGTTACTGCACTATGTTTACAATATAAATATTTGATTTAATAAAAAAAAACTTTGATGTGTCACCAACAGCTAGCTCTATAAATGGAAGCATATATAACCTTACATCGGTTTTATATGCTACACAAAATAACTGAAACACCGGGATAGTTAGAGGTCGACAGCCGGTTCATACTTAGGGGGTTAAAATAAAACACACGAACACCCCGGCACCAACTGTCAACGTTTCAAATAAGATGACAGTTTAATTTAAACCAATAGGAAAAGGGCTACGTGACCCTGCCGACCAATGGGATTGAGCAGCTCTTTTCCGAGAGTATAAAAAGCCCCGCCTAGCTGCTTCGCATTTCAGTTACGTCTTACACAGGATTCTTAACGTCCAAACAGTGAGAGCTAACGTTAGTTCTTCCCTTTTCTTAATTCGACCGCTACAGACTCCACATCTTCGGTAAACATGGTGAGTGGGAAAATACAGGTTTTGTTTTATTCCTCATATGTTAATTTAACCAAATTCAAAACGTGGAAGTCGAGTTTTATTCATAAAACCACGAGCTAAAATGTCGGACGGGTAACCAAACTTAATTTTCAATGGTTTTTTGACGTTGGAGAATTAAACATAACTCGATAGGATGCAGTCCAAAATTGAAGTTCAGTCGCGGCTGCCATTTTCTGGGTTTTCCCCGTCGGCGCGTTGACCCAGTTAACGCCTGTCATTGTCCTTTAATTCAGCCTGAAACATTCCTCTGTGTGAGGAGGCCCGGCCATTATGAATCTGCAACCCAAAACCTATTCAAGAAAAAGCTTTACGGGGCTTTCATGTTTAATCTTTGTGTAAATCTACTACCTCTTTTGTATGAAAATATTGAACTAAAGCTGTGTTTGCTTTGTCTCACCACACCGTTTTGATGTTAAAATGTTTGTCCTCAACCCATGATTATCTTTCGGCCTTAAGCATCCTTTTTATATAAGTATCTGAAATGCCTCTAAAGCCTTTTTGAGTCTGGCTCTCACGATTCAACACACTGCAATTTAAGAAAACGCATGCAAATGGACAAAAGGCAAGCAAATAATGGCCTAACTGTGTTAAGCATTTCCAGTGGACACTAAATAGTGGTTGTTTTCTCACATGTTCTCAAATGTGTGAGAATGCTTTTGTGTATTTGCATGCTTTCCTAAATTGCAGTGCAATGAGCTAGTAGGCCACCGTAGTCGCCCAAGTTCAGAGACTAAATGAATGTGCAACGTGTCGGTTGACTTTAGTCATGGTGGTCTGGTATTGGCTTCTTTACAAAAGAGGCCTTTTTCTCCTCTCTGGATTTTTGCATTACTTCCAGAGCAGCCCTCAACATGTGACCAGCAGCCTTCAGCATCTAATGTCATTAAAAATGACATAAGAACCTTATTTTTTTACCCCCCCTCCCCCAAGCGGCTTTTCAGCCAACCAACAGCTCTTAAATCAGCTGTTTGCTCATTTTTAAACATGCTCTATAAATAAAAAGCCAATTGATTATAATTCTGTATGAGAACTTGTAGTAATAACTTTATTTTTATTTTTTCCTCCCTCATAGCGTGAGTGTATTTCAGTGCACGTTGGTCAGGCTGGTGTCCAGATTGGCAATGCCTGCTGGGAGCTTTACTGTCTGGAACACGGGATCCAGCCGGATGGACAGATGCCCAGTGACAAGACCATTGGAGGAGGAGATGATTCCTTCAACACCTTCTTCAGTGAGACTGGAGCTGGGAAGCATGTCCCCAGAGCTGTGTTTGTGGACCTGGAACCCAGCGTCATTGGTAAACTTATTACATATGAATTTTAAAAAATAGCACTAGTTTCTCATGCATGTTTTTTCACTCAGTCCAACCATCTTGGTATTTATGCTAATTTTCTGTAGATGAGGTACGAAGTGGGACTTACCGCCAGCTGTTCCACCCTGAGCAGCTGATCACTGGTAAAGAGGATGCTGCCAACAACTACGCCCGTGGGCACTACACCATCGGCAAAGAGATCATTGACCTAGTGCTGGACAGGTTGCGCAAACTGGTGGGTAACTTTATCAGGAGGGATCTATTCCTAACTTTGACCTTGCATATCAAACAGAATCATATCATACCCTTATTGATCACTGTCTCCTCTGTCCTCAGGCTGACCAGTGCACTGGTCTTCAGGGCTTCCTGGTTTTCCACAGCTTTGGAGGTGGCACCGGTTCTGGTTTCACCTCACTGCTGATGGAGCGTCTGTCTGTCGACTATGGCAAGAAGTCCAAGCTTGAGTTCTCCATCTACCCAGCCCCCCAGGTGTCCACCGCTGTGGTGGAGCCCTACAACTCCATCCTGACCACCCACACCACCCTAGAACACTCTGACTGCGCCTTCATGGTGGACAACGAGGCCATCTACGATATCTGCCGCAGGAACCTCGATATCGAGCGTCCCACCTACACCAACCTGAACAGGCTGATCAGTCAGATCGTGTCCTCCATCACTGCTTCCCTTCGCTTCGATGGTGCCCTCAATGTTGACCTGACAGAGTTCCAGACCAACTTGGTGCCGTATCCTCGTATCCACTTCCCTCTGGCCACCTACGCTCCCGTCATCTCCTCTGAGAAGGCGTACCACGAGCAGTTGACGGTGTCGGAGATCACCAACGCCTGCTTTGAGCCAGCCAACCAGATGGTGAAATGCGACCCTCGCCACGGCAAGTACATGGCCTGCTGTCTCTTGTACCGTGGAGACGTGGTGCCCAAAGATGTCAACGCTGCCATCGCCACCATCAAAACCAAGCGTACCATCCAGTTTGTGGACTGGTGTCCCACCGGTTTCAAGGTTGGTATCAACTACCAGCCGCCCACCGTGGTTCCTGGTGGAGACCTGGCCAAGGTCCAGAGGGCCGTGTGCATGCTGAGCAACACCACCGCCATCGCTGAGGCCTGGGCTCGACTCGACCACAAGTTTGACCTGATGTACGCCAAGCGTGCGTTTGTTCACTGGTATGTAGGTGAGGGTATGGAGGAGGGGGAGTTCTCAGAGGCCAGAGAGGACATGGCGGCTCTGGAGAAGGATTATGAGGAGGTTGGCGTTGACTCGGCTGATGGGGAGGGAGATGAAGATGGAGAGGAGTATTAAATATTCCCTTGTGTTAATCTCTAATGTGAGATTTAAATGTTGAATAAAGCTTGTTGGTTAACTGATCTATTGTTTGGTCTCTTTAATGATGTCATTCTACAGGGCAGAGGGAGGGGAGACGGGCATGGTTCATGTGTCTGTATCTTAAGCCAGTGTTTTCAAAACTTAA